CCCCTTTCTGGTTTTCCTCCCACGTCCCCAGCTGCTCCTCCAGAGCTGCTTCCTCCTCTTCAGCCTCTTGAGGCCGGGCTGCTCCAGGGTTCATCCTTGTTCCTCTTGTTTCTTACACCCGTTTCTAGATGGTCTCCCCTAGTCTTGGGGGCACTTAAAACCCTGAGAGCTCCCCAAAGTTTCTCTCTCATCATCAAATCTCCAGACACGTTTTTCCACTCTTCCCCTTCGTTCGAAGGTCTAATGACATCAGAAGCTGAGCTCCCAGACTTCTCCCCCAAACCTGCTCCTGCTTTGGTCTCCCTGTCTTGATTAATGTCCGTTCTGTCCTTCTGTTGCTCTTACCAAAACCTTGCAGTGATCCTTGGCTCCCCACTCTCTTTCACACAACCCATGTCCACTCTGTCAACAAATCCTCTTGGCCCTGTTTTTAAAATATAACCAAAATCCATCTATTTCTCTCCACCCTCCACTGTCCCCACCCAGGTACATGCCCCATCTATAATCTGAATCATGCAGTCACCCCTCACTGATTTGGTCCTTGCTTACAACCTGTTCCCCCACACGATCAGAGCAGTCCTGTTAACACTTAAGTTACATCATGTACTGCTCAAAATCTTTCAGCAACTCCCCATTTCACTCAATAAAAGCTAATGTCCTTACAATTGCTTATAAGGCCATCTACCTTATAATAGTGGCTCCAGCAACCATCCCCATTTCCTCTCTGGCCTCATCTTTTTCTACTTTCCCCCTTAATTTACTCTACTCTATACAGACTGTCCTCCTTGTAGAGTGCAAGAGACCTGCGGGTCCTGACTGGTTCACTGTGGTATCTGCGGCCCCCAGAACAGTGTTTGGCATGTAATAGTTACTCAATAAATATTGAATGAATGGGTCGATTCAATCATATTATGTTATTATACCTTGTTATAGGGACCAACAAGAGAATAAGCAGGTTGCAGTGATAATTAGGGAGAAAATCTATTTTCCACAGGAAAAATGCATTTGTGTCCCATTTATCCCAGGGGACTGGGAGGGCTTTGGGGTACAGACCTCCTCTCATTCACCTCTGACACCCCAGAGCCTGGCCCAGTACCTGCCACACAATAGGACTAAGTGGGAATTTGTGGACTAAATAAATAAATGAAAAGTTGTTTTCCAGGAGTATCTTTGCCTCTGGTTTCCTATCTGAAACACTGTGGTCCCAAGGAAGGTACAGGAATTAGAGTAAAAAAACCTGGGTGCTAATATTAACCAGTGCCATGAGCCTGCTGTGTGAGCCTGGGCAAGCCATTTAACTACTCTAAGGCTCAGCATCTTTAACATAAAATAAGGATCCTCTCTTCCCTGCCCATTTTGTAGGGTTATTGTAGGGCTCAGTGTGGTTTAATAATTAGTACACTCCCCATCCCAAAATGCCTTTCCTGGGCTATATTTTAATTTATACCTGAGCTTTTCATTTAGAGATACAAAATAGGAAATGCCTTCATGGAGATAGTGTCTTCACCATTTATAGTCTTTCTGTGCCTCTTTCTTGAAGACATAAAGAGGTCAATTAAAGAAGCAAATTCTTCTTCATATTTGCAATCTCCAAAAAAATTTCACCCAAGGACTTAAATTCCTTCCTTCTACCAGAGACTGAACCTTATGTATTCATCCTGCTTCCATTTTTGCTCTGGGTACCAGGAAACTCATATCTAAATATGGCATCTGGTAGTGTAGTAACTATGTTGAGCCTAAATTTTTTATACACTTAATTCTTCCTCATTCTACTAGGTATTGGGAGACCTGGGCTCTAGTCCTGGCTAATCACTTTACATCTCTGGGTTTCAGCTTCCTAACTGTAAACTAAAACAAATTGGGGCTTATTTTATTTATTATTATTATTTTTTAAATGTATCTTTATTGATTTCAGAGAGAGAGGAAGGGAGAGAGAGAGAGACATCAACGATGAGAGAGTCATTGATCGGCTGCCTCCTGCACGTCCTACACTGGAGATTGAGCCTGCAACCCGGGCATGTGCCCTGACCGGGAATCGAACCCGCGATCTCCTGGATCCTAGGCCGATGCTCAACCGCTGAACTACACCCAGCCAGGCAATTGGGGCTTATTTTAGATAAGCTTCAGGGAGGCCCATGAATCCCCCAGAAATTGGGTTGCATGTATGCATTTTTTCAGGGCAGAAGGATTAGAATCATCACCAGATTCTATAAAGGGATCCAAGACCCAGAGGATAGCCATTTTGATGGGAAATAATTTTGATGGGAAATACCCTCAAAGCCAGTTTATTAAAGGCCTTTATAGGTGTGTGTGCGCCTCCGTGAGCCTCCTCACACTGTGTTTTAGGAAGCAGGGGCATCCTGGTCCCAGGAGAGAGCCTGAGCTCTATCTTCCTCCTTGGGCCAGGATGCTGCCGAGGAGTCCTGCGCCCTCATCTGTCAGGTCTTCCAGATCATCTACGGCGACCAGAGCATCGAGTGCGTGGACCGGGCTGGCTACCACTACACATCCACACCCGAACGGCCATGGCTCTGCAGCCGCAGTGAGTACTCAAACTCCTGGCCACCTCCTGTGAAACATCCCGAGGGCCAGAGGATGGGGGATGCCCCAAGACTTAGAGCCCAATGAAAGCCTTTAGGGGTTCTGATCTCTACTGCAATTACAGTGTACAGTATGGAGTTTTAAAAAATGTCAGTTTTCATGATGACCTCAAACCTAGCTTCTTCATGAGACCCATAGAGGCGTTTGCTGAGCACCAACTATGTGCCAAGCAACCTTTTCTGCCCTCTTTGCCACTGTATCCTGTGTGCCTAGCATGGGGCCAGGGACATTACAGATGCTCAAGAAGTATTTTTTGAATGGATGAAAGAACTCTCTGAGGCTTTATGATTCCAGTTTTACAAATGAGGACATTAAGGCTCAGAGCAGCCAATACATTACTCAAGCTCACACAGCTAGTAAGTGGCAGAGTCAGGATTCAAATCTAGGTATGTCTGATTCTAAAGCTTCTATCTGCAACAACTTCACTCCCCATGCTGCCTTCAAGGCCACTAAGTGAATTTCCTCAGTCACAGGCCCCTCAACATGGCTCCTGTTTGCATAGTTCCAGCAACAAGGAGCTGGCTCTTTACTTCCGGAGGCACACCTATCTGTGGGAACTGTGGTTTGAGGAAGCTGGGAGAATTCATTGACTGTCACAGGGATAATAGGCAAATCAATGAGAAAATGCAACAAGTATTTCAAGAAATTCGTTCAACAAATATTTATTGAACAACTACTATGTGCTGGATTTTGCTAATCACTAGGATATACTGCTGAGCAAAACCAGACGTGGCCCTGCCCTTGTGAGGCTTGTGTGGCTGAGATAGTATGATAGTAGTTAAATAGTTACAAAAATACAGTGTGGACCACATGCTGTGCTATGACAGCATATAATGAGGAACCAGCCTGGCCTGGGGAGTCAGGGGAGTGTCCGGAGGAAGTGACGCGGAGTGAGCCGAGATCAGAAGGTGAGGCTAGTACCTGGATTCGGTGAGATAACAGGTTTAGGTACAAAGCAAAGTTTCTGTAGATGGTGCTTCTTTCCTCTCAAGACTTTGAGTTCCTTCCTCTCAAAGTTCTTTTTTGTCTCACCTCAAACACATAGTTTACAAAATACTCCCTCACCTGTTCCCGCATCTGTTATACCCAAGACCCCCTGAGGTAGACAGGAAGGTGGTGTCCCAATGTTGGGGAAATTGAGGGCCAGGAGACAGGACGTGAATTGCCCAAGGTTGGCTGTGTGTCAGGGGACGAGTTGGGGGGGTGAGGGGGCAGGAATCGTGGTTAGAAGCTTCCAGTAGCTGCCCATTTCTGAGTAAAAACTAATGTCCTTGCAATTGCTTACAAGGCCATCTGTGTTCCAGCCACCATCCCAACCCCAGGGTGGGACTGAAGTTGAGGCCTCAGGAGCCAGGGATGCTGGTCCCTGCTTCGCTTCCTCTGACAACCCCTCTCTCTTTGGTCCCAGGTGAAAGCTGCCGAACTGACGGGACTTATGCCTATGACGCTGACTTCAGCTGCTGCAGCTCTTTGTAGGTATCACCCTTGCTGGGGACCCCACTCTTGCCCCCCCAACCTTTGCATAAACAGGGTTGCTCTTCTAGGCATTCTTGAGCTCCCTGTGGGCAAGAAAGGGTGGGATAAAGTGACCCCACTTTGATTTGTGCTGAGACACTGGGCATTGAGGGTGGGAGGTAAATGGAGCTCTGATGAGCTCATAGGATCCATACCCCTGAGAGGCCTAGGGTGCAACCAGAACCCAGAAGTGGGCCCACGTAAGCCTGTAGTCCTCTCCCAGTCACCCAGACACAGTGGCCAAAATCACAGCTAACGCCAAAAAATCATTTTGGTTTACTTCAGTTTAGGCTCCGTGTAATAGAAAACCCTAAAAAAAGAATAACTTAAACAAGATGGAGCTTTCTTTCCTGTCTCTTACGTAAATATTAGACTAGGATTTCATGCAGAGTCTCATGGTTGTAAGGGGCCCAGGCTTCTCTTTTCCTCCCTCCTTGGCACTTGTTCCATCCTCAACGCCACCTCTTGCTCCAATGTGGTGGTCATAGCTTCAGCCATCAGGGTAGCATGCAAGGGGCCTCTTTTTTTGTTTTGTTTTGTTAATCGTCACCGGAGGATATTTGTTCCATTGCTTTTCAGAGTGGGAGAGAGGGAAGAAGGGAAGGGGGAAGAGAGAGAGGGAGAGAGAAACATAGATGTGAGAGAGACACATTGCCTGGTTGCCTACCGGTTGCCTCCTGCACGTGCCCCAACCAGGAGCCGGCAGTGAATCCACAACCCAGGTATGTGCCCTTGACTGGGAATCGAACCCTTTGGTGCTCAGGCTGACACTCTAACCACTGAGCCACACCAGCCAGGATGCCAGGGGCCTCTTTAAAGAGCTTTGCTGGAATTCCTGCTGACAACATTTGCTTACATTTCATTGGCCAGAACTTGGTCACATGGCCACAACCAGGAAGGCTGGAAAATACAGGACTGAAAAAAATCTCACCACCAAGCTACACTGCTTCTCTGTAGGTCATGGAAAATGGTTCTGGGACAATGTAAAGACCAAGAGGCAGGTTGACTTTTTATTAAGTAATATTTATTGAGTACCTATCGCATGCCAGGCACTGTGCTGTGTGCTAGCAATGCAGTGGGGAACAAGACAAGGACAAGACCCATGCTTAACACATAGTAGGTACACAACAAATGAAGAAAACCAAAGTGCCTGCTCTTGCATGGTTTACAGTCCAGCACAGGTGACAATGAAGTCATTATTTAATAGTAATAAGCATTAATGATAAATAAGCACTAAAGAGAAGCTCAGAGTGCTGAGAGAGGCTGTGGGACTCAGGAGGGTCTCTCAGAGGTGATGACACTGGAACTGAGACCTGGAGAAGGAGCATTCAGGGTAGAGGGAACAGCAAGTCAAGGGTTTGTTTGAGGATCAGCCAGGAGGCCACTGTGACTGCGGCAGAGGCTATAAGGGAGACAGTAGTCAGAGAGGATGTTTAGTGAGATCTGGAAAGTCCTTGCATGTCATAAGCAGACTTATAGACTTTGTGGCCACATTTGACAGAGGGTCTAATCCAGCCTGGGAGGATCAGGGAAAAATTTCCTGAGCAGGTGACACTTAAAATCCAGGCATTCTCCCTCCCTGGAGCACACCGGCGCCTTTACCCCCCTCTTCTTCCTCCCCCACAGGCATGCCTCTCCTAAACTCTAAGGGTCCCCACAAGACTTGCAACCAGGGAGCAATGGGCAGCGACAGCTCATCCCGGGCTAACCCCCTGCACCTGTCTCCAAGGCCCCCTTTTCTCTGACTTTCCAGTGAGCTGACAGTAGCTCTACCATGGCTCTCTTCTTCCCCATAATGTTTCTAGAGCCAAAGCAGCCCCACCTAGTCTCTCTCCTGCTGCTTCTGTCCTAGGCTGGCCCTTGTTTCACTGTCCCCAGCTTTAATAAATGTACTCTCAAAGTTTAAAAAATAAAATCCAATGATGAATAAGAATTAACTGACTGCCCGACCGGGCATGGCTCAGCGGTTGAGCATCGACCTGGGATCCAGGCGATCGGGGTTCAATTCCCGGTCAGGGCACATGCCTGGGTTGTGGGTTTGATCAATGACTCTTTCATCATTGATGTTTCTCTCTCTATCTCCCTCTCTTTTCCTCTCTCTGAAATCAGTAAAGATATATTAAAAAAAAAAAAAAAAAAAGAATTAACTGAGCAAAAGATAAGGGGAGAGAGACATTGTAGGATGATGGAACAGCATGTGCAAAGGCTCAGAGGTGAAGAGGTACTTGGAGTATTAGAGAAAAAGAGAAGGCAGGGCAGCCTGAGCACAAACAGCAAGGGTGAGAAGAGGCTTGAGAGGCAGCCAGGGGCCAGAGAATGTGGGGCCAGGTAATGCAGGGCCTTGAAGGAGAAAAGTGGGACCTAGGATGACGCCTCAGGCCCAGAGCACTGGTAGCTATGAACCTTCCACGTTCCACCTGCTACAGGGAAGGAGCTGGAGGGAGATGAGTGAGGGCCCCTTTCTGCCTGTCCCTGCAGCAATGGCTCTCAGGACACATTTGAAGCGTGTTACAGCGGCACATCCACACCCTCTTTCCATGACTCCCACTGCAGCGGCAGCGACCACAGCGGCCTGGGCCTGGAGCAGCTGCAGGATTACATGGTCACGGTGAGCTGGGGCGCCAGTGCAGACAGCACAAGCAGAGGCCTAGGAATTGGAGAAAACATGGGGTATTTCAAGAATCATGAATAATCCTGGGCATGACTGAAGCATAAGACCCCAGAGGTCAGAGCGGGGCACGAGGTTAGGTGAGTATACTGAGGCCAGCTTGTTGAAAGGCCTAAACTAATGTCAGCTAGCATTTTCAGAGGCCGTCTAGGCCAAATATGCCCTCAGAGAGGGCTCTGGGCCTTTCAGGCAGTGGTTGGATGGGGGTTGCTTCCTAGGATTGACCTCGAATGATGTCCCCACAGTTGCGGAGTAAGCTGGGGCCCCTCGAGATCCAGCAGTTTGCGCTTCTGCTGCGGGAGTACCGGCTCGGGCTGCCCATCCAGGACTATTGTTCAGGCCTGCTGAAGCTCTATGGAGAGCGGCGCAAGTTCTTCCTCCTTGGTGAGCCCCCTGCCCCACCCCCATCCCCAAGGGTCAGCCAAGGCCCCTACATGGTCCATGACATTCCTGGTCAGTCTCCAGGCTGGGAGTCTTCATTCCTTATCTCTCAGCCTGATAAGGCCAAGATCATGAGATCCATGGAGCATATGAGGAGACGGAGGTGCAGAGAGGAGAAGGGATTTGCCTGCAGTCACAGAGCTGATAAGAACAGAGCACGGGTATAGCCATTCCATCTTCATGGCAAAGCTGCGAGAGGGAATGATTCTTCCCATCCTACCCCATCCAGAGGAAGCCGAGGCTCAGAGAGGCTAAGGAACTTGTTCAAGGTCACACAGCTAGTAAGGAGGGCTAATAAAACAACAATGGGAATGGTAATATTGATAAGTTAACCTGTATTTGGCCATTACCATGTGCCATGCATCATCTCATTAAGTAGCCTCAGTTCTGGGAAGTAGAAACTATTTGCCCCCATTTTGCAGATGAGGAAACTGAGGCTCAGAGAAGCAAAGTACTGAAGTCACATAGTAAGTAGTGACTAACGTGAAATGGGCTAACTCTCATGGGACACTCAGTGTGTGCTAAGTACCTTATTTAATCCTCACATACCTACTGGGAGAAGATATGTAATTATCTCAAGTTTACACGGGAGGAAAGTAAGGCTCAGAATAGTTTTGTGTGTTTTTTCTGATGAGAGAGAGAGAGAGAAAACATTGACCTCTTGCATTCACTGGTTGACTCTCGCATATGCCCTGACCAGGAATTGAACCCGCAACCCTGGCACATCAAAGAGTTTCCAACCAACTGAGCCACCCAGCCAGGGCTCAGAGTAGTTATATTTAATGAGGGTCACACAACTATATCATGGGACTATAACAACTGTGATAATAATAACAATAATAAGCTAACATGTAATGAGCATGTACTGTGTGCCACGGGAATAAGTCATTATTCTCTGGCTCAGAGAGTCAAAGGACTTTTGCAAGGCCACACAGCCAGTGAGTGTCAGGCAGGGAGCTAAATTCTGATCTCCAACGAAGGTGCGATCGCTATGGGAGGGGAAGGGGCTGAACCCCAGGAGTCATCCGACCTTGGCCCACAGGGATGCGGCCCTTCATCCTGGACCAGGACATTGGCTACTTCGAGGGCTTCCTGGAGGGCGTGGGCATCCGCGAGGGCGGCATCCTCACCGACAGCTTTGGCCGCATCAAGCGCAGCATGAGCTCCACATCCGCCTCGGCCGTGCGCAGCTACGACGGCGCGGCCCAGCGGCCCGAGGAGCAGACCTTCCACCGGCTGCTGGCGGACATCACGCACGACATCGAGGCGCTGGCCCCCGACGACGACAGCACCGACGAGGAGGCCCGGGGCTCCCCGGGCGGGAATGAGGCAACGGAAGACAACTACCTGTAGCCTGTCTCCCCGACCCAGCCTCCATTCCCCCAACCCGGATGCTGCCCCGGGCTCCAGCCCGTGCAGCCTGGAGAATGCCCTGCAGGGGGCGGAGCCCTAGAGCTCGGGGCAGTCGCTTGGGACTCAGTTAGCCCCGCTCTGCACGCCCTGGATGGCCAGCGCCCTTCTTCGTCCGCTAACCCCGGGACTCTGCACCAGGACCCCCTCCTCCCTGCAAGGCGCAGCTTTCGGAGGCCTCGGACGGATGATGAGGGGGCTCCACCTGCTGGCCGACGGAGGAAAGAAGTCCCAGGACCCCGAGACTTCTGTTGCTCCCGCTCGACAGCTGGAGAAGCGGAGGTTTAACAGAGGGAAAGGACTTGAGGGAACCGATGCTCCTGCGACATTACCTCAAGTCGACCATACTGAGCCTGTAGAGGGTCTTTTTGAGGCTCTAAATAGCAGGGACTCCCCCCCACCACCACTACCACCCCTGAATCAGACCATCAGTGTGGAGTGGAGGTTTTTTTCTACTGCGAGTTGACTCAGAGGAGGGTGATCATGGAGATGAACAAAGGTCAAGACCTTAGTGCAGGGTCTGCCACATGATAAGCACTCAATAAATGCTGTTCCCTTTTCCGTCTAACACTTTCTGACCCAGTTTACCTGTCTTTGTCCTGCATGCAATGGGATGGGATCCGAGGTGGGGGTGAGATGCAAGAAGACCCTCAGGGAGCACAATTTGAGAAGAGGAAATAGGACTTGCCCCTCACAGCTCCATTACGGCCTCGCTTCATGCTTGAGCCCCAAAAGAAAAGTACCCAACACTCCCCAGAGCCATCTCAGGGGTCTGGACTAGCCGAAGAGATCTGAAGGCAGGGTTGGAGAGGGAGAGGTCAGCATAAGTACAGCACAAGGCCCAGCCCAAGTAAAGGCTTGGAGGCTAAAAGAAATGAGCCCTGAGAGGAGACCAGAGACTAGGCAAGTCTATTTGTAATAATGTTACAGAACCCTCCATGGCCAGGCACATGGTACTTCCTGTGAGGTAGGTACTATTATCACCCATTTTTAGAATTGATTTGAGAGAGAGGAAGAGAGGAAGAGAGAGAGAAAGAGAGAAGCATCAATTTGTTATCCCACTTACTTATGCATTCATTGGTTGATTCTTGTATGTGCCCTGACTGGGGATCAAACCCACACTCTTAGCATATCAGGATGATGCTCTAACCAACTGAGCTACTCAGCCAGGGCTATTATCACCCATTAAAATTATTATTATTATTATTATTATTATTATTATTATTATGGCTTCAGGTCCAGAGAGTTTCATGGTTCATACTCAGTTTGTGGCAAGGCCCTTTGGCTATTTTCCTTTATTTTCCCCTTGCATCTACACGTTCCCCCACTCCTCCTCCCCACCATGGGCACCCACTCCTATGTGTTGCTGTATGTCCCTGGACATAAAATATGCAACGCTTTGCATGCGTGTTTACATAAACAGTGTCAGGTACGCATCTCATTTCATTGCTGCTTTTTCACTTCATAATATGTTTTTAAGATCTACCCATGCTGCTCTTGGAACATCTAGCTTGTTGCAAAAATATTCCAAGCTGAGCATCCACTGTTTTATGTATCCATTCCCCCAGTGATGGACACCCAGGTTGTTTCCAACTCCCTCTTACCACAAACAACACCGAGATTAACATCTTTGTGTGTGGACCTCATGGGGCTACATGAAAATTTCTTTGGGTTCTATACTCAAGATTAGGATGACTAGATCACAGGTCATTTAGCTTTTAAATGTCAGTAAATTCTGCTAAAGCGGCTCCACTAGCAACCTGTGAAGGATGCTGTCTCCCCACACTTACATGAGCTTTTTCATTGTCAGACTTTGTAATTTTGCCTACAGATTGGGTGGTAAGGTGGCATCTCATTGTTGTTTTAACTTGTATTACTCTATTAATCCTGAAATTCAGAACCTCCTTCTATACTTTTGGCATTTGGGCTTCCCCTTCAGTGAATTACCTGTTTAGATCTTTTGCCCATTATTTATTGGGTTTCTTATTGATCTGCAAGAGTAGCTTATACATTTTAGATATTAATCCCTTGTTGGCTGTTGATGGTTCCAGATATCTTCTCCCAATATGTTGCCTATCTGTTAAGTTTACCTATGGCAGTGGTTCTCAAACTTTAGCATGCATCAGAATCTCCTGGAAGGTTCGTTAAAACACAGATTGCTAAACCCACCCCAAGGTTCTGGTTCAATAGAGCAAGGGTGAGGCCCAAGAATTTGCATTTTTAACAAGTATTCAGGTGATGCTGATGGTCCAGGGATCACATTTTGAGAACCAATGGTCTAGGGTGCATTCCTTGGAAGAAATTTGTTCCATTGAACGAATCCTTAATGTGGATGTTTTCAAATCTATTCACCCTTATTTTATGGATGAGGGAACTGGAGCTCAAGGAGGTGAAGTGAATGGCCCAGAGCCCATGCTCCTAGGTGCCCATCTATCCCGTCTACCAGACTTTGGGATGTAGTGATCTCAGGCTGAGGCATCTGGACCTGAGGTTCCGGAAAGTCTTAGTGGTTCCTAAGTGAGGCAGCCTTAGAGGGAGGAGTCAGTTGGCTAAGGGCTGGGGCCAAAGAGCTAGAGGTTCCTCTTAAAGGTGTAAGGCCTTTGCAAGAGAATCAAGCTCAGAAATTGCCAACAGTCCCAGCCAGGGCACAGTGAAAGGGCTGCTGAGAGGCACTGGTGCAGTTCTTACCCCACAGCTCTGGCAATGGAGCAATTTCCCTCACACCCCGAGGAAGTCCTCACCACCCCGGAACTGCCCAGTTACCAAAGCCATGTAACCTCTAGTTACTGAAGTCCAAAGGGCATTGGCTGAGGTGGCCCAGGCCCCAGGCATGAGGACTCTGGCCACACTTCCTCCTGTAGCGTCCAGAACCCAGCCAGGATCACTTCCCATCAGGGTTCAGTTCTTGGCACTGCAAGATGGGGAAACCCCCCGGGGGTGGGGCAGCTGATTCCCAGAGACTTATAGGAGTGTTATAAAGATGGAACTTCCCAACCAGCTAGATCCCCTGGGGACAGAACTGCTCCATGGACAAGTGGTGAAGTTAGTGAAATTGTCTTTACCTCTACACTAAGCCCCTTTTACTTTGGGACCCTGCAACTTCCTACTCCCTCCCAGCTTCCAACTGGAGACTTCTAGCAGTCCTTCACAACTGTGCCTGACACTGTCCCAAACACTGGAGGGAGATACAGAACAGTCCCTGCCCTTTGGGGGGCTCTGGGCCTGATGGGGAAGTGAAGTCCTTATAAAACCACAGCAGAAAGTTGTCAATTGTAAAATCAGAGAGTGAGAAACAGCTCTTTCTGAAGAAGATGGAAAAAGCTTTGCAGAGAAAGTGACTTATGAGCAAGACTTTGAAGGAAGAGCAAGATTTTGGGCAGGTATACAGTACCGGGGGGGCTTCCTGGGTGGGGCCAACATAGCAAAGGCCAGGGAGTTGGAAGGAGCATGGCACACTCTAAGAACAGTGACCAGTTAGCACCAGGGCAGTGGTTAGACACTCTGCCCCGGGGGTCAGACTGAGTGAGTTTTGAATACCAACTCTGACATCTGAGACTTGGTGATTTTGGGTAAGCCCCTAAATGTCTCTGGATCTTAGTTTTCTCATCTACGAAATGGGAATAATAGTAGTATTACCCTTATAGATCTCATAGACTGTTGCAACTCTTAAACAGGATAACCCATGTAAAAGTACATATAGTAAGTGCCCAATAAATGTGACCATTATTATTGCTGGAGGAAGATGGGGTGTCTGAGGTGGGGGGGCAAAGTGAGGGGCGTCAGAGAGGAAACTAGAGAAGTGGGCAGATTGAGAAGGCCCTTTAGGGACAAGGAAGGGTAAGCAATGGGGACCTCATGGGCTTTCATCTTCCAGAAGTGAATCTAGCTGCTTGGAGAGGTGGGTTGACTAGAAGATAAAGGAGAGCCTGGGTGCTGGGGGACGAGGCAGGAGGCTGGGACAATGACCAGATGAGAGATGCTGAGATCTGGCTCAGATGGGGTAAGAGGAAGAAAGAGGAGAAGGCAGGTTCCAAAAGGAAGGGAGGGGAAGAGGGCTCCCTCCTGGCTCAGAAAGAGCAGGCTCTCACGCCCTTTGATTAGACTCACCATTCAGTCACTCATTCATTCATTCATTCATTCATTCATTCATTCATTCACTCATTCATTCCACAACTGCTTTTTAGCACTTGAACCCTGGCCTCATGGAGGTTATATTCTAGGGAGTATATATAACTATTAACCACCCAAACAGGCCTAAATGATCAGAAATTGACAGCCCCACTGGTGTGTCCTCTCATTTGTGACTTGTCCATCCTGAGCCATTTTAGATGAAGGGCAAAGTGTCTTAGAGCCAGGTTAGCCTGTCTTGTCCACTTCCTGCAATGGGGACTTCACTGTCTTCTGTGGCAGTCCTTTCCAAGAAGTGTGAGAGCTAACAACTGCCTCCTTGCCACCCCAGCTCCCCCACCCCCACTGCCGGGTCCTAGCATTGCCTTCTAGAACTCTACCCGGCACAGCTGCGCCCTCAGCCCTTGGGCGGCCTGCAGTGATGCACAGAAAATGATGCAACCTGCAAAAACTTCTCATTTCTGTCTAAAAGCAACTTGTTTAAAAAATTGTTTTTGAAGCTTGCCATGCAGACAAAGGGACAGTGCCTTTGATGTGTAAAGAAGACATTCAAATAAATAACAAAGACCCCAGCCCAATAGAAAAATAGGCAAATTATTGTACAGTACACAGAAAATACAAATGACTCTGAAACATGTGGCAAGATGTTCAGCCTCCCTCATAATAAGAAAAATGTGAGTTAATACTACACAGAGAAACCATTTTTCAATTACTAGACTGGCAAAGTTTGGAAAGTTTGATAACTTACCATGTGGGTGTAGGTGTGAGGATACAGACACACTCACACGTTGTGGGTTGGAGGGTAAGTTGGTAAAACCCTATTTAGCAACATCTACAATATTTTAAATGCACAGACCCTTTGATCCAAGAAGTCCACTGCTAGGAATTTCTCCTACATTTATACAGTCACAAACAGAAATGGTGGACGTCACGGCTTTGTTTCTAATAGCAAGAGATTAGAAATCAACAAAATGTTCAGTGACAGGGGACTGGTTAAATAAACTGTGGCCCATGAAAAAGGTAGAATACCATGAATGAAGTAGCTCTTTATGTACTACTTGAAATTATTTCCAAGATAAAGAGAGAAAAAAAGCAAGGTGCAGAACACTGCACTTTGGATAGTGCCTTCTTTCTCTTTACAGGTGGAGGGGATGTCTTTGTGTAAATGCATGGATTGTTCAGAAGGATATACAGAACGAGTGATGGTTGCTGCCTCTGAGCTGGAGGAGTGTATAGTATAATAAAGACAGAAGGAAACTTCTTTTCATAACTTGTCTTAAATGTCGTGCCATGAATATAAATCACAGAAAAGCAATTTTTAAAAAGATGCCATTGTGATATTTATTGTACTCTATAAGACCATCTGTTTTCATGTCTGTCTGACTTCCCCATCTCCACCCTAACACACACACACACACACACACACACACACACACACACCC